ATGTTTTCATAATTACACATACTTCCATCTCAGAGTTGGAGCTCTACCAAACAGTTTGGTGTGAGGTCAGCTCCAGCGTAGAGCTGCTCCATGGTAGAGCACCTGCTCTGGAGCTATGTTTTCAGAGCTGGAGCCCTGCCAAACAGGCCCTAAGGGCCCTTTGGCGGCGCCCCCACGACTCTGCTCCACGTGAGAACCACGGAGTGCTGCCAAACACTTCTAGCGCGCGCTGCTCCCACCCCTCCATTGTTTCTGCACTGCGGGTGGGGAACGGAAAAAAACCCGCTCTCCACCGCTCGGCTCCGCTGTCTCATCTCTCATATGTCTGTCGCCCATCAGCGAGCCCCTCTCCGCCTCCATCGTGCCCCGTGCATGTCTCCGCCGACAGCTCATCTCCGTGCACGTCTCCACCTGAGACCTAGCCTGCCGCCGCCTGAGCTCGCAGAGATCTAGCCCACCGCCATTGAGCTCGCTGAGATCCAGCCTGATGACGCCAAGTTCACCGTGATCTAGCCCGCCATCGCTGAGATTGAGGCCGCCGGACTTGTCGAGCCTAAAGCCGCCGAGCTTGCCTCCTCCTTGCGCCGCCATAGCTTGCCTTCCCCTTCCTCTGGTGGGTCGGGAGTAGGATCCGTTGAGGGAGCTCTACCAAATAGTGCTAGGAGCAGTGAAGAGCTAGAGGGAGCTGAAGCAATGGGGAGCCGGAGCGGGTTGAGAGCGCTACCAAAGGAGCCTAACATACAGCTCGGTAATGGCTAGTCGATGAGCCTGTGATTAATGGTGAAATGTCTACGTCTATGTATACTAGCAGTTCTACCTTTGTTCTCCTGTCTATATACCAGCGACCCTAAAACTTATAAGGGTGTGTCAGTCCACGAACTTTGAAAATTATATTTATGGGTCCCTAGACTTGTTAAGTGGTGCACCGCAGGTTCATGCTAGTCATATGTGCATTTCTTGCTAATGTGGCATGCCAACATAACATGTTTTTTATATTTAACCCCTCTCATTCTCTCTTCTCACATGAATGGATCCTTATTTCCCTCTTCTCTCATGGCGACTGCAGCCCATGGAGAGAAGAGGGAAGCAAGAAGTAGAAAGAATCTATTCATGAGAGAAGAGGAAGAGGAGCGCTTAAATTTAGAAAATTATGCCACGCTGGCAGCAAGAAACATTAATATGACTGGCATGGACCTGTGGTGCACCACTTAACAAGTTTAGGATCCTAGAAATTCATTTTTTGAAGTTCGTGAACCTCAGTGACACATTCTTATAAGTTTAAGGGCCGCCGGTGCATTTAACTCTATTACTTTTAGATTACACGTCGATTCCTAAAGTAGTATACGATTCCTCTTGTATGAGTTCTCAAACTATGAAATTATCTATTTAGCTCTCTATTGTATTTACGTGATCTCATTTCAATCCAAAGTGGGCACCGTGACACGCACGAGTCTACTTAGGTCATCCGCGTGGACATGATTTAAGTAGAAATTCTCCAGAGTCGAGTCAAATTTTCATTACACCTCATTGTTTTTTTTGCCGTTTTTCTAAGCCATATGACGTGCTCGACATAATCAGGGAAGCAAGCGGTTGGGACCGAGAAGGATATGATCAGCGAGAGAGCGACGAAGAACTTGTGTGCAGCATGGGGCTAGGAGCCGACACAACCTGCCGCCACCGCTAGCCACCGAAATGAAGGGAGAAATGATGCGACCAAGGATGCAAGGAGCGGGTACCTCACCTGGGCCGCGTTCTCAAGCACCCCTCTGTGACGACCGGGAAGCCACCACCGCCGCGGTGGCCTGGTGAGGCGAGCGAAACCAACGTTGTTGATTTTTTTATAATTATTTTTAAAAGAAATTTTTAATTTTAATTTCAGCTATCTTTTTTAAAATCTAACTTTTTTCGCCACACTAATCTCCCTGGCGCAACAAATAGGCACTGCCCCGTTGTGGGTTGGCACGGCAGGGTGCCACTGTGGCAGTCCAATGGTCCGCTAACCTGCTAACCTGGCCCTTTGCCGTGTCGGCAGGGTGGGATACAAAGCCGCACGTGGGCTCCTTGCTCCTTGCTCCTTGCTCCTTGCTCCCTCTCACTTCTCTTCTTTCTCCTCTAGACACACGAGCCACTGCCACCAGAAGCTGCCGTCGACGACTTTTACACCCTAAATCCGGTGATTTGGGCCCAGATCTTGGTGGAGATGTCCCCCAATCTCTCCCCGCCCCCGCCTGAGGGCAAGATATTCTCCTACCCCTTTCCCTTTTCCACAGTTGTTTTGAAGAATCGCTTTGCTAGCTAGGGTTTTGCTCAAATTTGATTGCTAGTAATTTAGGTAGATTGATTACGTTTAGAACCATTTGTAGAACCACTTAGCCAACAAGTACTTTCGTTAACATTAATAAGTTGAAAATGCTTCATTTAAAGTATGACCATATATTCTTTTTCATGACTTGTACGTGTTTAGTTTCCAATCCGGTCTTATATAGTTTGGTTTTATCATTCGAAGTCTCTGTTCGGGAAGTCTTCTTATTTCTGTGTTGGTCAACTTAAGCTTTGATTTGATAGTTTAGGGTTTTTGTTTAAGATTGAGTTGACCTAACCTTATTTTAGATCACATTGCTTTATATAACATTTTGTTTTTGTTCCTTTGTATTTTTAGCTCTTTTCTCACCATTCTTACCATAATTGCATGTTTAGTGCTAAGGACCTTACTAACACCTCGGTGTTACAGATCAATTCATACCCATGTATTAATGCACGAGTATATTTATGCCTCGTCATATGTTTTTGGTAGCTTGCTCCGAGGGAATTCCAACGAAAGCAACATCAACAATGCATTAAATGCTCTGTTGCTAATTTGGTAGTGGGACTTGATACAGTGCAACCTCAAAAGGAAGGAGAATCTTGAGTGGCTAGATCCGGGACATACTAGCCACTTCAAATCTGCAAGCACTCTTTCAAACTTTGGCTTTTGTCCACCCCACTCTGTGAATAATTCTCCAAGGGCTTGTTTAGATGCAAAAAAATTTGCAAAATGAGTACCGTAGCGTTTTCGTTGTTATTTGGTAAATAGTGTCCAATCATAGTCTAATTAGGCTTAAAAGATTCGTCTCGTGGATTTCGTCTAAACTGTGTAATTAGTTTTATTTTTTATTTATATTTAATGCTTCATGCATGTGTTCAAAGATTCGATGTGACGGGGAATGTGAAAAATTTTGCAAAATTTTTTGCAAACTAAACTGGACCCAACTAAATCAAAATCTGGCGCTCTGTTATCATTGTCATTGTCTTCCTCAACCATTGTGATCCAATCATCAAAATGAGATTCATGCATATCTGATGATTCTTCAATGTCAATTGCTAAAGATTTTCCATGATGAATCTATCTGGTGTATGTGGACGATATTCTAGAAATATGTATGTGGTCATGCACTTCTGGCTGAGGCCGTAAAGTTTGGTTAAGACATTGACGACATAGGCAAAGGATATCGGTTTGCTCCAAGTATCTTTATCAAACAAGCTCCATGAATTGTTTAACTCGATCGATGAACGCAGGTGTGAATAATTATCTCCCACTAACCCAAGTTCTATCCATCTGTTGTAGCATAAGTATGCAAATTCCAGTTAAATAGTGGGAAGTGACACTAGAATAAAGAAAACACAGTTTGCTGAAGATGTTTAGTGGAACAAGTGTTGGCTCAATCCGAACTGAGCGAAGGAGCTATAATTTTACTGAACAGGTCAGCATAAATCCGAACACACCAAACAATTTGTGGGGTGACCTCCCAAGTTTCTGAGTGTCGATTGTTGAAATTTGTTAATAGGGTGTGTACAGAATAGCCTTTCTATATGTGTACTACTTTATTGCGGCGTACATAATATACAATTCTATAATAATAGAAGAAGGTACTCATTACTTTGTTCTAGGAACTAGAGCATGACTCGGCTGCGCGATGTCTCCGCAGCACACACTTGACTGGGACGCTAATCGGCTAATGCCATCGCGCTCGACTAGGAAAGCCCTACAGCCTCGCCTACAAAAGAATGACATAGGCACCACATCGGATCGGGAATCCTCTGTTGTAGTGCCGAACGGGAAATCCTCAATCGTCAGCATGTTCGGCAAGCCGTAAACGATCGTGGATTATTTACTGCTGACTGGTTTGGTGTGAGAGAAAAATATTGCTCCAGCTTATAATCCACGATCGTTTACGACCATATAATCCCAGCCGAACAGGCCCCATGTCCTTGTCGTTAGTCAAGTGGGTACATATCCATATTTCCACGTGCGAGGAATTCCAATTTAGGTAAACGTGGAGGGGAACCCTGGAGTATAGAGTACTATAAAGTTTACAATGAGATACCAACACAACTGATCATGTAGCGTAGTGGTAAAGCGTAGTAGTAAAGTCGTTTCGTTGCTTGCTCCAGGTCTCGTGTTTGATCCCGATGTAGGACATTTTTTTGGAAATTATACCGCTACAGGCCCCACGTTAAACGTGGTCGCCACACTAGTCGTCGGGTCCCACAGCTACATGATACATGTACATGTATTTGCCACGTAAGTCGGTCATGTCCTACATTACACGTGCTGCGTGATGGGGTCGGCTCCACAGTAACAGATGACATGGATAGTAGTTGTCGAGTCCCATAGCTTCATGTCTCGGTCGGTCCCATAGCTACACGTCGCATGTACAGATGGCTGCCACATAAGTCGTTAGGGTCCTACATTACACGTACATGCCCCCGGATGGGGTCGGACCCACAGTATTAGATGGCATGGACAAGGCGCTACTCGAAGACTTATGAAGAAGTGATATTCGTTACTGTTCTAAAACCGAGTGTCACATATGAGTAATTGGTTTAACGACGAAGTCGTGTTTGTTACAGTTCCCCGTGAGCAATCTAAGATCTGGAGTAGTGATAATATGGTACTGCTATACTTTTTATTCAATAAAGAAAAAAAAATAGTATGAGGGTTTCAATTTGATATACGCACATTAATTCGGCGGGCGTGATGATTGCTGCATTTCATTCGCCTTCTGAACCCATTCCACTATCGAGCCCTGAAGCCTACGCGGTGCGTGCGCAAGCCACACATTGAGGAAGTCTATGAGAACCTGTATCCATCTCTCCAGTTTGGGGTCTCGGCATTGCTGGATCGCCGACCTTCTGCTTCCAGCGCCTCTGCTACGCCTCGTCGGCACCATCTTAGGCAGCATGCCGGTCTTCTCGACCTGAAGGAATGCCGTGCCATGCCTGGACTTCCAGGACATCTGGTATGCCGTCGCCTCGGCCTTGTGGTGGAGGCAGTTGATCGCCTTGGGCAGCATGAACTCGTCCAGCTGCTCGAGGCTGATATTTGTGTGCACACCACCGCTCTGCTCTGTGCCGTCGATCAGCTCGGTCGACGAGCTCTCGACGGCAGGAGCCAGGTCTTCAGAGGAGCCATGGGGGGAGAAGAGGAGCCCAAGCTTGAGATGTGGCAAGTTCTTGAGACAGGCGCTTTCACTTTCAACGGTTTTGCTTCTGTGCAGGTTGTACTCAGACAGTGGGATGTGGTGTTGCAGGAACACTTCGATGACTGGTTCAAGATCAGCCACATCTGACAGTTTCATTGTGCTGCTGCCGCCGCTGCTGCTGCTGCTCCTGTAGGAGGGGTAGTTCAGCAGCTCATCATGCTTGTTGCAGCACTGCGGGTTTGGGCGAAACCACTGGGTCAGGCTACTGTGGACGCTGTTCCAGTGTTCCTTTTGGGTGGATTCAACATATGGCACCCAGGAGAAGTCCTGGGTCGGCAGCTGGGCAAGCTCGTTACGAGCAGACTCAGCCGCGGGCTTGAAATTAGGAGTGACCAGCAGCTCCAAGCACTTGATGATGGTCCCGACCAGGTCCGTGCTCTCGGAGAGGCGTAGTATGGAACCCAGGCAGAGGTTCTTCTCCGGCGCCTCGTCGTCCTCGTAGATGAAGAGGAGCTTGGCCTCCACCCCGCGGTCCTCCAGGAGAAGGGGGCGCACCCAGAACAGATGGTACTGGCTTCTCCGGACAAATCTGTACCACAGCTCCTGGCCGGCGAGGAGGTGCCCGATGAGAGGGTCGACGTGCACGTACCGGCGCGGCGTGCCACCGAGCTCCACGAACCTCAGGAACTCGCCGGCGCCGTCGGCGAGCCACTCGAACCTTCGGACTGCTGCTCTCGAGGCATGGCTGCTGCCGTCGCGGCTGAAGAGACCGGCGAGGCGTGACTTGGTGGCATGGGCTAGGCGCCTGGGGAAGGAGGAGCTCCGCAGCTCCTGCTCCCTCGCTTCGTCTTCCACGGCGCGCTGCTTGCACTCGCGCAGCGTGCCGTCACACTCCTGCGCGGCGCGTTTCAGCTTCTTGCGCCAGCGCAGCAGCGACGCGTCCTTGATCTGCCACCTTCGAGATGTCTCCAGCGCGGCCTCCAGCTTGAGCTGCGCCATCTCCAGCCTCTCCACGTGAGCAGCAGGTTTCTCTGCTTCCTGCTCGCCAATCAGACGGGAAATGACCTGCTTTAGGGTCTCCTCCGCAATCGCTGAACTCACCATCTCCGCCATTACTTAGGATTCCTGCGCGCAGCAAGAAAGTAGTAGTGAATGTGAATCTGGTATGATCTACTAGTTCTGTAAGAGAGTGGAGAGCTTTGATGATACTTATGCTGCTATATATTGAGCGATAGAGAGGGGCAATGCTACGGTACATCCTTTACTTACAATGAAGTAATATTTCAAACAAATCTGAGCCGCTGACTTTTTTTTTGGATTTTTTAATTAACCATTTAATTAATCTAGAAGAAGAAAAGAAAACATAGTCAAATCCCCACGTCAAACGGGAGACAACGAGCGACGGCCGCTTCTTTGCAGCACAGCCTTCCTTTTTTTTTCCTTTCCGTGTCTCCTTCCTTCTGCTTTTTCCTTCTTTTTGATTATGTGGTTCTTTTCCTTTTATAAATTTTAATTCATTTTTACAAATACATAAATACTATATACATTGAAATACTTATTTATGTATAGTTTTATTTATGTTTGATATATTAATAAACCACTAAAATATTTATTAATAATTATGTAATTTTTTAGTTTCTTTAAACCAAATCTCTATGTGTATAAATAAGTGTGGTCCTACTTAAAAAAAGCATATATCAGAATGCAAACTCATATTTTTGTATAAAGCATAAAATTTCATTATGTGTTGGACACGTACACAGGTTGGACACATATGTATGTTAATTGGGCACCTATATATACGTGTGGCACATATCATGTGCATAAAAACTTGGTAGTTTATGTTAATTAAACTATGTCATATCTAAAATTACCCAGATAGTGCAATAGATCATGCATGCATCAATTAGATCTAATTTTTTTTATATCTAAACTTTTCTTCTTTATCATATTTTATAAAATTAAAATTATATAAATACATATTTCAACTATTACCTCCTAGGAAGTAATAGTTGAATTTAGCCATCCGATCTAATTAAATAGACAGCTTATAGTTATTGGTAGGTACCACAGCAAGCCCTGATTGAGGGAAATACCGAGGAAATTACATCTCGTCTTCATTTAACAGCTGGTTTATTTTGACCCAGAATAGTGACAATGGAAATCGTCCAAGTCTCTGGTAAGTAAGCAATCATCAAGTCCATGGACCTAGAATGAGCCAGCGGATTAATAACGACAAAGATATGCGACTGATATCCCATAAGATACGCTTACACGGGAAGGGAAGGGTGTAAAGGAAATTTGGTGGAAAGTGCCGCAAAGAAAGGTCGATGCGGTACTCATCACAGTCGCATTCTTGGACCAGCAGTATGAAAGTTTGTAATATTAGTGGACTCCGTGCTTGACTGTTCGGTTAGGATTAAAGCCGACTGAAGCTGATTTATTATAAGCTAAAAATATTGTCGATTCTAGCTGATAAGCTGGCTAATAAGTTCAAACGAACAGCCCAAAGTGATGCAGTGACTAAGCGACTAGAAGGGACGAATATTACAAGTCATTTGTACACACTTTTCTTCCATCCATCTCCATATTCAATGAAGAATGAGAAAAAAATAAATAAACAAGTTTTTTCGAACACATGGTCAATATGTGTCCTTTTGTGTATGAGTGATGAGTTACTGTCCAGAGGTGATTGGAGCTTTGGATTAATTAGTGTGTTGAGTCTTGTTGGGCTACGCCCGTTACCTTTCGCACCCCTACTGGCGAAAGGGGGAACCGCTCAACAATCATGCCCTTTCGCGTCCCCATGAGAGCGAAAGGGAGCAATCAGCTGAGATGGGTGCCCGCATGCGACGCAAGAACTGGCTTGGTGGGATGACGTTTTCGCCTTACCGGGCGAACGGGCGGCGTCGGTTGAACCTTAGCGCGATGAAACTTTCTCTGGTTTTGCAGGGACTCTCCACCCCTTTTGTCGCTAAGGGAAAGGCGACTCGGGGGCCCGACAACCATGGTTGGCAGGCGGGGGTAGCGGCTAACGGCGGGAGCAGTTGGAGCCCGGGGGAGGCGAAGGAGGAAAAGACTGGAGTGCCCTCAGCGAAAGGGAATATTCTCTCGATTCGGGGTGATTGTAAGGGTATTTGAGTCCATGTAAATGCTATGAATGGGTATAAATAGTGCCCCCACTGGGGTTGTAAGGAGGGAGGACCCTAACTCCAGTTCATGATATCAAGTTGGGTGGCTTGTGTGACCTTTTGCCAGTCTATTCTTTCCGGCTTCTGTATATGTTAGGGTGACGACCAAGGCTTCTAAGGTTACGACCTAGAACAACATTGGCGCCCATCTTGGTTGTTGCTCGAACTTGTCATGGCCGGAAGGAAGGGACCAAAGACGGTAAGCGAAAAGGCCAAAGCATCCAAGCCCGGTGGCGGCGGTGCCACAGTGGTTGTGGCGAGCACTGCAGTAGGAGTGGTGGCCGCCACCGGGATGACGGATCCAGTCATCACGAAACCAAGAGTGTCGCAGTTACGCAAAGAAGAAATAGTGCTACTAGGAGGTCAGGCGGAAACACCAGAAGGAGACATCCAAGAAGAAGACGAAAATCAAGATGGCGATGACGAGGAAGACAGCGAGATCATAGATCAGGCAAGAGAATTGAGAAGGCTGGAGCAATACCAACAGGATATCGCAAGGCTGCAGCGCGAAAGGGACCAATTGGTACAGCAAGTTGCGGCAAGAAATAGGGCCAAGGAGACTCAGCGGGTGGTCAGACATGCCGAAAACGAGAGAGACATGTTGATCAGAGAAGTTTAGAGATTGCAGAGAACAGGAGCCGCAGGTATTGTCCAGCCAGGCGAAAACGTCGTGCTGCCCGAAGCACCTGAGCAGGAGGGAGACCAAGAGTTATATGACTCCAGCTCTCCGCTGGCAAGGGAGTTGCAGCTGCACCCATGGCCGATCGGATACAAACCGCGCATCCCAACTTTCGACGGGAAGTCTAACCCGAGGAAATTTATCACAAGCTACGAAACGGTGATATCTTCGGCTGGCAGTGAAACGATCCCGATTTCCTCGAAAGGAATTCCATAGATTCGAAGTATAACATGATAGTCCTAGGTGATCATCCCATCACATTATCAAATAATAGTCGATATCACAGTCATACATCGAATACCTATCTTAAAGAGAGTACAAATAGCAAGGTTTACTCATTATTACGTCACCACTTGGCGGAATCACTTAGAGCATACATCATCCAGAACAACATCAAGTAGAAAGGCAGTAGGCGTCGACTCCATCTTGTCAACCAAACTTGAGCGTAGGAACAAGACCTCTAATCCTCCCAACCGACTCCCTGGTAGTCGTACTCAGGCTCGGAACCTATCAAACAATTATCAGTATGATTTGTACTGGCCACTGGCTCCCACCCTATGCTTTGCGTTTGCTTTGTGGTAGTGGAATGCAAGGGTAGAGCAAAAGACCTATTTGTGCCAGTAGTTTTCCTATACGAGTATGTCAAGTTTTAATAATAATTCATCAAGTTTTAACCCATCTCATCCACATGTTCTCCCATCCCATCACACACATCTCACCACTCTCACACTCTCTAGGCGATAAGGACGACTCCCGCTCATACCTTGCCTCATTGGCCAAAGCCGAGAACCAACACAAGAACCTAGGGGGAGAGAAGAAAGGACTCCACACTAATCAAGGGAAGCATAGGTCATAGGAATATCCATATCCTAGGACGCGGCTATACGTATAGATCGATCAACTCTGCAGAGCTTGTACACCTGGAACCACAAGATCACCACCATCGACGGTGCCCCACCTAGGCTAATATCGGGCCACCTTCCAACCAGTGCGACGCCACCCTACCACTCAGCCCTAGACCACCCCGGAGTCCACTAAAACGCTGAGACTGTGAGACATAGTATCGGGGCCCAGAGGTCACTACGCTGTCTTAGGAGGGCGTGGGCCACACGCCCGTACCTCCCTACACTATCCACTTCCAACCTAGTAGTAGTGGCACTGTCCTAGCTGGTCGGCGTCTGTCCCCCGCCCATTCAGGGACAAGTGGCGTGCACGTAGGGTCGTATGATCCGGTTCTCTCGACATACCAGTCCTTAGGGGGACTGGACATGATATCTTCTCAAAGGGGATAACCAACACCCCGTGCCTCGATGGCACCTCCATCCCAGGCTTCATCCCACAAAGACACTCCACCCCGGGATCTCCTCATCTCACATGCACCCGCCACAGGTACCTTTGGTAGGGGATGCCCAGGTCGGACCCCCTAGCAAGACTCGTCCAACGACTCATCGTAAGATTCTGCCCGATCGACTCAACCCTCTTCACACACCCAAAATGCATTCCAAGATCTCCCCGGTTGTTACCACATCATCAGCACCAAGTGCCTAAACCACTCACATACAATCCTCCACCAAGCATCACATCACAGATATAATGCATAGTAGAAGCATTAGCAAGTATGTAAGCAAGCGTCTATCCTAATAGCGGGTGTGCAGGGGTATAGGTTGCGACAAGGTAATGGCTCACAAGCAATTCTACCATGCAACCTATCACAGATCATTTGCATAAAAGTAAAGCACTAGCATCTACATTATAGCATGTCTAATAGGATTCTACGAGGTTGGGTGGGACGTGGCACCTGGCAGGTCATCTCCAAGATCCTTAGTGTTGTCGAGGTCGTGCTCCTCAGTCTGCGGCTCCTCTGGGTCTGTCAAACGAGACATATAGTCATGATAAGAGACTCCTATAGATGATCACAAAGAAGCAACAGAAATTCAAAAGATCCAAATGCACTCAAACACAATCCTATGACGTAGAGCTCATTTTTAGAAAAATTTGGACACTAGTTTCATATTTTTCTGAGGTCGGATGAATTTTCTAAGGTTAAATCATTTTCTTGAAAAAGAAAAAGAATAGGAAAATCCAGGGCTTGACACGTGGCAGCATGGGATTTGGCGCAGGAAACACGGTCACTGATAGGTGGGACCAGATCAACGGTCAACGGTTGACTGGGCTCAGGCTGGGCCTAGCAGGCCGGATAATGGGCTGGGTTGGGCCGGGCCGGGCCTGGACACGTGTTGCGC